GAAAATATTAACAGTAAAATTGATTGCTCTCTTCCCTTTCCTTGATGATTTTTAACATAGAATGTACTTTTTTCATGTTCAAGGACATAAAGTAGCAGTTTTTCATGAAAAATATGATTTCTTACAGGAAAAAATATATAATGTTCAACAACTTCACATTTGATTGCAAAATATAAAAAGAAACTGTAATAAAAGAGTTTTGAGCCACTCACCTGCAGTTGGCACATCATAATCTGAAAGACACAATTTCAAACAAATATTTATTTCACTAGATTTAGCCTTGGAAATAAAATAAATTTTACCAAATTATATCCTAGTAATCATAATATTTTAAAGGTGATGCATCCAAATTTCAATAGTGCTCATTTTTAATAGCGTGATTAGAAATAAGATTTCTAATTTTCCCCTTTGCCTTAACTATAGTTTCCAAATATTGTTATCGAACAGGACAAATTGAAATTATTTTTAAAACAAAAAATTCAGCAGGCGACAGCAATTAACTTTTTCCACACTTTCCTGCAAAATAAACCGCATCATAGTAGGAAAAATGTGTTCTATCATTTCACCCTTCTTTTCTGTTCTTATTTCTTATTGGTCCTCTCTGAAAGGTACAAGTTGAAGAACATTTTATGGAAGTATCCTTGGCTTTTACAATGAGATCAAATTAGTTTTGGCATCTGTTAAAAAAGAACCTTTGCATTCAACTCAATGGGTTCGGTGTGAGGATGAGATGAACACATATTTGCCTCAGTTGATTGGGCATCGTCCTGTGCACCCAAAGGCCACCCGTTCGATTCCCGATCAGGGCACATGCCCAGGTTGTGGACTCAATCCCCAACAGGGGACCAGCAGGAGGCAGCTGATCTATGTTTCTCTCTCACATCCCTGTTTCTCTCTCTCCCTCTCCCTTCCTCTCTCAAAAAAATTAAATATCCGAAACCGGTTTGGCTCAGTGGATAGAGCGTCGGCCTGCGGACTGAAAGGTCCCAGGTTTGATTCCGGTCAAGGGCATGTACCTGGGTTACGGGCACATCCCCGGTAGGAGATGTGCAGGAGGCAGCTGATCGATGTTTCTCTCTCATCGATGTTTCTAACTCTCTATCTCTCTCCCTTCCTCTCTGTAAAAAATCAATAAAATATATTTTTAAAAAATTAAATTAAATAAATTTTAAATACTGTGAATGAACATGTACCTCAGGGCTCTGCAGCACACACGGAGCATAGAAAGCACTTAGCAGATGGTGACAATTTTGTTGCAAGGATAAGGAGTTCTCTTCTTACAGAAATCGTTATTATTTCCTCCCCTATCCGATGACTCGCTCAGGTTGGCAATACATTTTCACAAACCATAGAGCACTTATATCCACTAAAAATTGCTCCAGAATTCAAGTTTAGGGGCCTTTAGTATCTGGCAAATATTGAAGTTACAGGAAATCTCAAAGAAAGTAATAAGGCATTGGCCATTGTTCGCAGATCTTTCAACTGCTTCTCTAAGACCAGGACGCAGGCTGCATCTCGATGCCTGTAGGTTCTAAA